TGTCCCTGGCAAGCTTTGGCCTTTACTCTACCTGAAGACTGACATCGTGACTGCTTCATAACTTATATAAATAAGAAGGAAAAAAAGAAACACTAAAAATATAAAAATCAGAGACCTTTTTCCTTCTTAACACATCCAGGAGGAAAAAAAGAGAGGGAAAAATACTTCAAGCACCGCTAAAATAGAGGGAAACAACTGAGAATATTAATTTACAGCAACCGATGATATCGGATGGGGAAACACACTCAAGAGTAGTGTAACATAAAAGTCTGAAGTCTATTAGAAGCAGCTTATTCTTGATTAAGCTTTTACAGATCACGTCAGAAAGTGACATGCATTTTCTTTCATAAATCAGTGTTTTATCTTTAAAAAAATGCACCTTTATCATGAAAGTAACAATAGGCACATTTCTGTAGAAAATATATCTGGGACAGCTCTTGCATCAATATCTTAATGCAGGTCTAACTTTAAAGCAAATAAGTTTACTAGAAGTCACTATATATTATTGCTTCATTATACTGCCCAACATACTGTGCAAGGTTTAGTATAAATGCTATGCTTGGTAGTAAGTTTTTGCAGGATTGTACATTTTGAAGAAAACAAGTTAATTACTGAAGGTCAACAGCACTTGTGATACTCCTCCAATTGCCCATCAAGTATCAAATTCTGACCTGATGGAAAAGCAAAAGCTTCACAAGAAATGATGCAGCTTACTTTCCCATATGTCTTGATCCCTGGTATATAACAACTATTCCAAAAAAAATGAACTGCTGTCAAGTCATCATCAAATAAGTTAGTCTCAGGGCCTTGTTACACCTCGTGCTGTGAGCTGCACAAATGTTGATTGGTGTTAGTGCTCGCTCAAGTTTGAAGCAGATACATCAGGCCACCAGGGCCCTGGAGGACTGAAAGGTAAAAGCAGCCTTCCCACCACCCCCCTTCCCATTCCAGGCTTCCCCTTGCCTCCTGCCCCTGAGGTATTACTTACTTGTAACCATCTGCTCCGTCTGTTCCAAGGCTGAAGGCAGGGAAAAGTTAACATGCCTGCCCAGGTGTCATTGCTGCTGCTTTTCTGGCCCAGAAAGCAGGGTGGACAGCTGGACAGGCATGTTAACCCTTTCCTGACTGCTCCCCCAAAACAGACAGGGTAGGCAGCCACAAGTAAGGAGGGGAAGAAGGCAGGGCAAGTGAGCAGGGATCTCGGGTGCTGGGGTGAGGAGAGGAGGGGAGGCAGTGGGCCCTATCCAGGCTGGGGAGAGGGAGAGGAAAGGGGTTTACACTATGGCATAGCCTAGTGTGGCTGGGTAGCAGGGCTCAGAGATAACCCTGCCCTGGAGTGATGTCACTTTGAGCCGCAGTGTCATCAACACTGAGAAAGACTGGAAACCATACTGGAATTCCACTGGAAGACTTAGCACTGGAATAGCAGAAATCAGATGAAGCTTCTTGAGGTCTAGATAATAAAAGCACCTTAAAATGTAATAGGACAAGAAGCAGGGGCATGCACTTAAGAACTAACAACAATTTATATTTTAAAGTGTGATCCCATCATTTGGAAACAACAGAAAAGGAAAAAGACATGGGTGTATTTAGCCATGGCAAGGGTTATCCCCAATTAAGGGCAACTACTCGCAGCCTGGAGTCTTCTTGGCCCGACCCGTTAGTCTCGTTTTCACCTGCCCATAATTCGCTGCGGTACGGACCGAATCTCGCCTTCCACCTCTTGATTTTTTGCTGATGTTATTGGCAGGGACGTATTGTTTGGTTTCTACCACAGCCGGGTAAAAGAAATACATGTAAAGACTACTTCTGGGCCTCCAAACTCCCCTACACCCCATCTTAGTGCTATCCAGCTGTTGCACCGCTGATTACATTCATAGTCTTTCTTGACTGATCTAACCTTCTTTCTTTTCTTTCATCCTAGGTTTGAGTTTTTTGAGTCTTGACAACACAAAAAAAAATGGATCACTGGACTTCCCCTCAACCTCAGGTAAACCTTATGGGTAGTCACAAGGGGCCTTATGTCCTTATGTACCCAACTCTCCTGGGGGTACCCCACCTTCTAATAATGTACCGTGAACAGTTTAAATCAAAAGAGAAAACCCCGTCCAGGGACTTCATTCTCAGGAGCTTGATTCTCCCAGTCTCCCAGCCCGTGACTCTCTTGTCAGGTTGCCTTCACCTGTGACTGGAGCCTAAGCCACAGCCTGTGGCTCTGGGCAATCCTGCCCTTTCCAGGTTCTTGGGTTGAAGTTGTTGCCAGTTGCCTCACCCAGTATACCCGCCTTGGGGTTCAAAGGAAACAAATAACAATTTAAAAAACTAGCTGCAGCTGGGACCCATACAGGGTGCAACCGCTTCTCTCGTGGCAGGCCCATCTCTGGCAGCGTTCCCCCACCACTTGCGTAGCTCCTCCCAGCACTGTCTCTACAGCTGTCATCCCGTAACTCAGTAGAACCCAGCCTAGCTCTCCTCCCAGCTTGGGGTCAGCTCTCGGGAGTTCAGAGGCTCCCACCCCACATCCCAGATGTTTGGGAAAGACCTTCCACTCCCCATCTCCGCATGCGCGATGCTCTCCTCCTTCTAGGACCACTCAAGCTGTATGGAGCAGCTACTCCAGAACCGACACTCCTGCAGCATTCTTTTTTCTTTTCCTGTTGCCGTCTCTTTTTCAGCAGACTCCTCTTCCCCTACAGGAAGTTTGTTTTTTTTTTTCTTTTCCAGTTCTCATCCCTGTTCCTCTCCACAAGCTGATACACCTATAAACCACTTGTGTGATGCAGCCATGAAAAGGCAAACCTCATCTTAGGCTTCATTGCTCAACATATTTCCAGTAGCAATAGGGAAATTCTAATGCCATTTTTCAAAGTAATGGTAGGCTCTCATCTAGAATAATGTGTCTAATTCTGATTATCCACATTCAGGGAAGATGAATTCAAATTGGAACAGATGCAGAAAAGGGCTTCAAGGATAATCAAAACAGACAAGCAAATTAAAGACTAGGCAAGTAGACTAAAAGAGCTTGACTTATTTGCCAAGAAAAATAAAAGTAGGAAAAGGGATATAATTGCCTGTGATGTGTCTAGAAACACCTGGAGTGGGAGCAGGTAAACACCAAGGAAGAAGATGATCTAATTAAAATAAAGGATAATGTTGGCAAAACAGCAAATGGTTATAAACATGAGGCTGGAAATTAGAAGATTTCTAATCATCACACCAATGAGGTTCTTAAACTGCCTTTCAAAAGCACTAGTGAGAAACCTACCTAAAAATGGAGCTTGAAAGCTATGTGTGATATGCAGTCCTATCATGTTTAATAGCCACTGTTAGACCTATCCTCCATGAATTTGTCTGGGTCCCTGTCAAATCTGGTGAAACTATCACTCCACAAAAGCTTGGGGCTATGAGTTCAAATACTTAATTACATGCTAAGTGAAAAAAAGCTTCCCTTTTGTTTTAAACCTGCATGTCCCCTAGTTATGGCATTGTGAAAAATAGCAACTAGTAAATATTTAATTTTCTCCATGCCATTTATAAGTGTTCTTCTCAGATGACATATGCAGCATGAGCCTCTGTGGGTCAAGTCACAGGGAAAATTGGTCAAAATAACCTGGAGGTTAACTGAAGTACCCCACAGGAATTGAGGAGGAAGGAGGACATAAAACATGCAAAACTGAAGTTCATGGGCTGGATCCTCAGCTGCAGACCTTGTGGGCCACAGGTGACTTTGCACCTCACCAAGCCTTCAGGCAGCACATGCAACTTTTACCAACAATAACAGCTATAAGGGGTCATTTTGAGGGGCTGGGGTTGAGAGAACAGAGCACGCTCAGCACATTTCCTCATACACCAGCTGCCCCTTATGTAGAAGTAAAAGATGTGGTGACACCAGAAGGAAAGCAGAACAGAGCTGGTTATACCAGCAATGGAAATGGGAGGGAACCACCAACTTTCTGCTCCCTTTGTACTGCCATGATGACAGGAATGGCACAGGGCAAAGCTATCTCCAGCCATGACCAACTGAAAGTGTTAGACAAGAGAAAGGCATCATTCCAAAGAGAATACTGTCCTTCTTTCTCGAAACTAAGCATTGGTTTAGTTGAATGGAAGCTTCAGTATGCCATGAAAAAGGAATCGTCTGTTTTCATGAGATTTTCTCTCCTCCTCCTTGTTAAAAAAACTATTCATTCATTTCTTTGAGTTCAACAGTTTTGCACTAAAATCTCTGCAGTACATGCAGGAAGAGGAGAACCTTCCATTCCCTTGAACAGCTACCATATCCTACAATTATTTTAGGACTCAGATAAATCTGTCCCTTGACAAATACAGTCCAGATTGCAGCTGCAGTGGTGGCAAGAATAGGGGACCTGGTATTTTGCTTTCATCTTGAAAAACAAATGCATACAAAGTTGGCATTATACAATACATAGGCCAAAATTTTCAGAAGCTGCTAGTGATTTGAGATAATTCCCTTAGTGGGTGGCTAAACTGATACATCTTTCAGAAGCATGATATCACAAGATGGGTTGAATATTTTATGAAAATCTAGTCTCTTACAACAGATCTCAAGCTGCACACCCCAAATAATCAACAGTCACTTTTGAAAACAGCCTAGGACATTTTAAAACACATAGGGATAAAGACGAAGTGTTAGAGTCAGTCAGGCTATTCATCTACTCAGGGGGGTTTGCACAAGTCGTCTTCCTTTACGGCTAAAACTTCTAAAAGGCTGCAGGATAGCGAACAGCAAAAGGTAATTAGTTTTCTGGACTTAAAAAAAACCTAGAGCATGTCTATTTGGGAGTTATATTCCATTTAAGTTATTAAGACAGGGAAATGATTTAAATGGCAAGCCTCCAAAGTAGCTAGAAGAAAAGCTGCTGTTCTTATAATGATGATGGATTTTTATTGTTCCCAGGCCTATGTATGTGTGCTTAAGACTGTTTGTACAGTTCAAAGGTGGTAATAAGCAAGACAATGTACTCAAACCAAATACTTACTGAGATTTTTCACAAGGTCAAAAGCAACGTTACTAGCAATATCCATGCCGGTGTTTATGTATGACTGGCAGTTTTTTAAAGACGACAGAGAAGAATCCACAGCATTCAATGAGATCACTGAACCCCCAGGCATCTTGAAATAATTACTCTGGATGGAAATAGCAAAAAAGAGAATTCAGAAACAAAACATTTTGCAAAAGAAATAAAAGCACAAACATCTAACGAAGAGTCCCCACAATCTACTCCTGTGTTAGTAAGGGTTAAATCCTGGCTCCACTGTAGTCAGCAGGAGTTCAGTCACTAGCCTCAGTAGAACCATAATTTAACCAGAGGGATTCAAACTTCCTATCACACAATGCTGAACACCTCTCCACTGCAGAAAGCAGCCTGTGGTTTTCACATTAATAAGCAAGCTACTGAACTCAAGTTAAGCAATACACTTCCAGATTACAAGGGCTATTTTGACAAAAAAGAAGTTCCCTGAAAAAACCTAGTTTTCACTCATAGAGACCAGAAAACAAAGGACAATAGTCTTAAGAATATATTTAAAAACCAAATTACCTAATCCCTTCACTGAAGAAAAAAAAAAGAAAGAAATAGGACAGATCTCTCTCTCTCTTCATCTCAGCAAAGGAGTCATTCAGCAATGCTTGGTGCCACTGGGCCATTGGGGCACATGAATAACATTTGTCTTTTTTGCTACCCGATGAACATCTCAATTCCCATTGCTACACTTACCACAGTCCAGCTCTGGCCTACTGCCTTCTCTCTGTTGGTATGCTTTTTGCCACACAAGATGCGACTTCCCACCTGTAATGGGATAGCTTGATCCTACAGTTTTGTTCAATTGCTCACCATTAATCAATAGCCACCCTCAATACCAGCTCTCATTTCACTACGCTCTGACCACAGGGAGTGAAGCATAGATCTGTGGTGAAGAGACCTATACTTTTAAGAAGACCAAAGTAAAGACCAAGCCTGTTGCATTAAATTTAGGGATGCACTGATAAAGTTTTCTTTGGCCAATACCGATGGCCAATTATTAATCAGCCATATCAGCTGATAAGGATCCAAATGCCGATATGCAGCCTGGCAGCTTGGAGAGCAGCACCAGTAAGTCTGTGGGGGAAGGAGCATGGAGGGTGCAGATCAAGGTCCCACAGCGAAGGAAGGAGTGGGGCCGGGGCAGAGGCACGGGCAAGCGCGGAACGGAGATGCCTGCCTCCCTGCCCCCTGTGCACTGCCCCACCTCAGCTGGGCAATGCCTACCTCTGACCCTGCCCCAGCTCCTACCCCGTTCCCTCTCATTGTGGGGGCCTCGATCTGCCAGCCCTCGATTCTACACAGCCCCCACTTTTTGGCACTCCAGAATTTGACACTGATGCCAGCAGGACATATAGACCATAAGAATTGAGCTTTATTGTCATGCTACCTCCCCCATCTCCTGGGACTCAAGGATGCAAGTTCACCAAGACTAGACCTTTATCGCCCTCACTCTGAGGTGTCCTGGAGAGACCAAGCCAGGGACCAGACCAAGGACTCTGCAATCTTTCAGGACTGTGACTTGCTTTCCTGCTGCTAGGCACAATGCTGTGTACCCTTTCCTTTTTTTTTTTGTCTTCTTTTTAGTAAGGATGGCCTTGCCAGCCAAAACTGTCTCTCTGAAACACTGCTGTGACCTCAAAACCAAAGAGACAACTAAAAGCAGTCTATGAGTACCAAATAGCTTGGTACTCATACAAATTTGCCTAGCCCTCAAGTGGCTGATAAACCATAAGCTATGTCTGTCAGTTACTAGCAGCAAAACTGCAAGTAAGGCAAAATGCACTTTCTGATGCTAGCTATCGTTGCTGCTCTACTCTTTC